GTAATGTTAATGGTTAAATTTATTAATAAATAAATATCATATTTATAAATTAAATTTAATGTATAAATTTTATAAGTAGCACCAAAGAATTAAATTTCTCTCAATGCACTTAGCTGGTGTTAGGAGTCTGTCCGTCAAATTGTTCGAGAAAAAATTATTTTTAAAGTGTATCCTTAAAATTGTTAAGAAAAAAATTTTAAAGTTAACTTACCCAAAAAATAACTTAATCGAAGTACCAAAAATAAAATAAAGCCTTAGTTGTCTTATTTTATAATTGATTTTTACCAACAACACATGTTAAGGATACATTAATACATATTTAAACTATTAAGTTAGAGAGAAAAAAGAAACCTTGATTTTAAGATACTGCATATCTGACTCTCAACAAAAAATCAGAATCTTAATTTATATTTGAAAATTAAAATATCAATTTAAAATTTAAAAACCTACTCTATTAAATGTTGATATTTAAATTTAAAAATCAAATATATATTCTAATATAATCAATTTATAAATCTATATATTAATACTTAATAAGGTAAATTTTTAAATTTTAAATTAAGTTTTAATTAAAAGAATCGATATAATTTAAAATTAAAATTTTATTTTTTTCATTTGCAATTATTTATGGAAAAAAGCGCATATAAATTTTTACTTTAAAAAAAGTTAAAATCTCAATTTTAAATTACATTATTTTGTTTAATTGAAATTCAATTTAAAATTTAAAAATATATTTTATCAGGTATTGATATTTAAATTTTAAAATTGATTGTATTATAATATAGAATATGTTTATAAATTCATGTATCAACATTAATCAATTTATAAATCTAGATATTAACATCGAAAATGGTGAATTTTTAAATTTTAAATTGAGATTTCGATTTTCAAATATAAGTTGAAATTTTAATTTTTTTTTTTATAATCAAGATTGATACTCATTAATTTCATTATTTATTTACTTCCAATAAGGAAAAAAATATAATACATATATAACAAAACAAATTC